CAAATGCTGAGCACAATGGTTTTCTTTGTACACACATTTGTTTAATAGTGAAAACATTTCGTTTTGTGTGCACCGCAATGTCGCTTTTATTTCTTGTAAGTTAGAAAACGATTAGGCCAGATTAATTTGATTTTGGCTTACTTTATCAGTTGTCTTTAGCTTCGAAGAGCAGTTTGGAACAGTGACGTCGTTAGAGCACGGCAGTTTGGCTGACCTCGATTGTTGGTGTTAGGAAAAACACAGTGGATCGGATTATCGTCGAGGTCATCGAAATTACAAGCAATCATTACTCGTATCTGGGTTGTTTACTTCTATTGCAGCGTTCAAACCGAAATTGTCGAACAGTTTTCAGATCTCCGAACTTCTTACGCCTGAAGATGAATGTAGTGCTCAAACATTGCTCATGTGAACTTCTTTCTCACTGGTGATTTTCACAGTTGTCAAGCATTTTAGTTTTGGTCAATACTCGCTTTTTGAAGAACGCTGCAAGGTCCACATCTCCATCATATTTTACGTCTTTTTGAACTTATTTCTTCTGATCTTCATGCCTATCCGTTATAGCAAACAGTAACTCTGTATCGTTCCCTTAGCTTATTTCTTATTCTTCTAAAACATCAAAGACTAAAGGAGTAAAAAAGATAAGAATAAGTTTTGAAGTTTTGGAGCCGACCGCCATTTAACCTCGGTACTATAATAACCAACATTTGCTTATATTGTTGAGCTTACACGAGGCCGATATGAGATGCTTATTCGGCTAGCGTTTCGACGTCTTCGTCACGTGTTTATATTGAATTAGAATAAGTTATCGATTCTAAATATTATAACTGGTTGTGGCAAACAGCCGTGTTTTTCAACAAATCTTATGACTATAAGTGGTTCGGGTTTGCCGTTCCGTTTTTGACTGCTCGCCATTTTTAATTCTGAAAACGACAATATGGGAAAGGATTGTTGACAATTTAAAAGCGGATTAGGATATATTATATTATGCCTCGAAGTTGCACAGATTGGTGCGAGTCTATACGTATTTAATATTGAGTGCCTTAAATGTCGTAGGTTCCGATGATTTTGTAGAACACTAAAACGAAGATGGTGAGATTGCTTGATGGCATGCTAACAGTTTTTCAGAGCTTCCTTATAACTGCTCGTTGTCGTCACCTTTAGGCAGTTATTCTAATTATAGCTTGAACTTTCATTGTAGTTGATGGCATTATGTCCGTTTCAAACACAACGGAATCAACAGAAACAACCGCTTTCATTAGTATCGATCGAAAAAACGGTATTGAAGGAAAATCCGAAACCAGCAAGACAAGGTAGAACATCATTCACAGCTATATAAGTTGTGGTAGTTTGCCTTTTTACGAAGAAGAAAGCCATGGAAGCTTGCCTGATATTGAGTACGAGGTTTTTAAAGACGTTGTAACTGAAAATACTTTTATTCAGCGGAAAAGCTGTTAAATACCGAAGCGATTTGCAAGGCATCAGAGCACTAGCGATCACTGCTGTTCTTCTGTTTCACTTCTATCCGCTGCGCTTTCCCAATGGGCACATAGGAGTCGACCAGTGAGCTTTTTCGCTTTCTGTTAACACTTTTGTTTCATCTCTAAGATCGTTGCTTTTTCTATGAGACCACATTTTTTTTCGAAAAATGACGATTGGGGCATTTCGCCTTAATTTTTCATATTAATCGCAAAAGAACGTCTACGTTTTAAAAATCGCTGGGCATATACTGCTTGATTTTCTGGAAACATTCACCTTTCTTTATCACGTCGGTTATCCATATCGGCGAAGAGGTAGAGAAGGTACCAGGAAAGCTTCGTATGCTACTGTCGAGCGTCCAGGATGCCCATGGGGCTTAAACTTTCGTGGAACACGAAGGCTTCTCATATGAGGCGCTTTATTTCTGCTGTTTTTAACGATAGCCTATGTACAAATTCTTTGCCAGGCCCTCACGTGGGATATGCTTATTCCCATCAGGGTTATCTTTTAACTGATTTTTGAAAAATCCTTGATATGCATTATGTGGTGACAGAAAAGATTGTTCGTCACCACGGTTATTGATTGGTGAACTATCTAGGAAGTTGGGAATATCACTGAATAAACACTTTGTGTTAGCTTTTGAATCTTTCGTTGCGACAGTGGAAGCCATAGTCTGAAACACAGAAGCAGAAAAGAAAAACAAAACAAAAGGAAGCCCGTGCTTTGGGCCATGAATTATTTTGATGCAGTGAGTTAGTCGTTGAAAAAAAGTGCAGTAAGTTCTGCAGGAAAGAGAATATAATTCGCGGTGTGTTGGTCGGTAAGGTTGTTTATCATGGAGCACTTTTCATGGTGGTCTACAGCCTCTTTAGCAGCAACGGATAGAAAATATGGCTCCCAGGATCGGCTTTCTCTTAACCTCGGCATTGGAATATGAATGTGTCGTTTTCTTGTTCAGCAATCGCGAGGTTTTTAAACAGCATACATTTACTTCCATAGAAAAACACAATACAATACAACGCTAACTGACGTTTCGGCAGTACCGCCTTCTTCAGAGCCGCTTTTTCGTGACTTCCAACGAGGAAGTTTAGAACAGCCGAACATAGAACAGAGTCGTCAACCACATGCGACTATAAAACTAAACCCACCCACCAAAAAAGCGGTGGGTTTTTCGAGAAGTTGTTGATCGTGTAATTACCAAAGAGTCTTTCGTCTTTGTGTAAGTGTTACTGAAGCGTTTGGCCTAGTAGATTGTATATCAGTATACCCTTCCAGGCTCTGAAGAAGGCGATACTGCCGAAACGTCAGCTAGCGTTGTATTGTATTGTGTTTTTATGGAAGAAAATATGGCGTTTTCATAGACTTTTTAATTTTTGCTACAACAGCTATTAATTTCCAAGAACGACTTTCTATTAGTCCCAGCATTGATCAAATAATTCACTGTATTCTTGTGAGCAAATACGAGTAGTTACTTTATTATTTATTGATGCCAATGCTGACGTTTCTCTCCCAACGGTTTATTGCCTCATCGTCGCTGGGAGGTGTTCCTGGGTGTTATGCTGCGTTATACAGAGTGGGATTCGTCTCCCCGCTAGTGTTTCCCAAGCTGAGAAGGAGTCCAGCTTTTCCGTCAGGAAGCCTAGTTAGGAGTGAACCAATGCCAGGGTACACCACTCTCCTAGTACCAAATTAGTCGCATGGTGGCAAATCTACTGATCCACAAGGGCTGCCGCTGCTTGTGGTGGTAATGACTTGGTGCAGAATTTGGCCAGGCTGTACTCGGACTCCAACGAACTGCAATGGCTAAACCAGCAAGTCTCCGCAGAATGGAAATTATGCTGAGGCTCGCACAACCAGTGAAGACGGGCCGTCAAAGTATCCAAGTAATGCTGACGTTTCAGCGGATTTCGCTTTTTTCATAGCCTGGAAAGGTCACGTTCACTGCAATTCATCCAGCCAAATACCTTCATAACCAAACAGAGAAAATGCTAAACCAAAATTCAACCGCATTGAAAACAAAAGAACTTCTTTGCACACTCACCGCTTTCTATGAGTCTTCCACTGAGTACTTCACGTGGAGACCAAACCGACCAGAGTTCACATGGATGGCTGATGTGCCTCTCTCACATTAAAATATAAGTTTTAAATATTGTGTAAGATCACGTGTGATACGAGGCGTTCCTCCTTGTGGTTCATTTTCGGAACATTTGAATGTTTCCAATTTATCCAATTACCAAGGCCGCTTGTGGCGCAGTGCTTGGAGGAGCTTGCAACACACACATGGAATCGATCCCCGCTTCCATAACCCACCAAGATTTCCATTCCTCTGGGGTCGGAAAATTAGTACCAGACATATCTGGGAGCATAGCAGCACTGGCTTCATACATCGATAGGTTACCGCGAGTCATTGTGAAGGTCAGATATGTATTCAATCACTTACAAATAACGTTTTATGAAGCCGTATGCATAGCCCATCCCTCAAAGATTGATCAACGCTGGGAGCTATATCCTTTTATGAGCTTTTATCCAGTTACCCCTCTTAACGGGTTACCGCCTCATCGTAGCTGGGGATGTTCATGAGTGTCGGCCTGCGATGTACAGTGGGGGATTCATACCCCTAGCAAGGTCTCCCAAGCTGAGAAGGAGTTCGGTGTTCCCATCAGGAAGCTCATCTGCAAGTGAACCAATAGCAGGATCCACTGCCGTCTTAATATAAAACTAGTCACATGGTGGCAAATCTTCTGATCCACATGGGCTGCCACTGTCAGTGGTGGTGAATATCAGGGGTAGACTTTGACTAGGCTGACCTCGTAACTTCAGCGAACTACATTGGCCAAAACCAGCAAATCTCCGGAGAATGGGAATTATGCTGAAGCCCGCACAACTAGTGAAGACCGGGCCATCCAAGTATCCAGTTACCTATCCATGAGAACTATGTCCGGTTGGTCTACATGTGAAATGCTCAGTGGTAAACTTACGGAAACTGTGAGTGCGCGAAAAAGCCGTTTTGTTTTCGATTTGAAATCTTGACTGCATGTTCTTTTCTGTTTTGGTTATGGATGCATTTGGCTGGGTAGATGGCATGCAGTGAACTTAACCTTTGCAGACTCTGAAAATGGCCAGTTCTGTCGAAACTTTAGCACTTTTGTCAATAAAGAATAAAGTAACAACCGCATGCAATGCTCAGAAATATCCATCCATGCGTTAAAAGAATAATATGACTTGTGTGCTTTTTTTTTCATTCCTCGCATAAAACTTTTACAGATTTTTTGTCCTGTCGGGATTCCTGATGTCCATGATGTTCGAACGAGAAAAACACCTCGGATTTGAAGAAGTGGCTTGTTTTTATTATCGAAGAGCGCGTCGCATTCTGCCATCGTATCTCCTGGTTATTCTGCTTTCACTTATTGCATCTCACTTTATTCTTTCACTCTACTTGCAAGCCAGTAACTGGGAATCTGCTATTTATGCGTTGATGCTCATCACAAACATCGAGGCAGCCGAAAGTATCAGAGATTATTTGAGGATGGTGAGTTGAAGGATGATGCCAGACCAAGTGAAAGGAATCGCTGACTGTTATTATAATTGTTTAAACAACCATTTAACTAATATTTTCAGCTAACGAGAACGAGTGACCTTTTCACTCGTACGTGGTCCATATGTTTAGAAATGCAGTTTTATTTCATATTTCCTCTTATTTTCCTCATCTACAAATCCATGCCTTTCTTAATAGCTAATCTCTTCTTAATAATAGTTGGTAAGGGTTTACCATGATTATTTTTTATATTTTTCTGTTGCTGAAAATGTTTTAGTTGCTTATTCTAACTTTCATTACGTTTGCATCCACTCTCAATAAATATTCTTACTTTAATGTTTCTATGTATTATTGGTTTTGGGTGGCGCTGTGGTCGGAAGCGCTCTGCTACACACACATGGAATCCGATTCCAGCGCCCGTGGCCTACCAAGCCTTCCATCCCTCCAGGGTCAGCAAGTTGGTACCAGACTTGTGTGAGCCTGGCTCGATACATCAGTAGGCCACCGCGAGTCATTATAAAGTCCTGATATGCATTCAATCACCTCCAAACGGTGCTTAATGATGTCGAATGCACTGCGCATCCTTTAGGGATTGATCAACGTTGAGGGCTTTATCCTTTATTCTTTGTCTATTATTGATCTTATTTATTCATTTATTGTGAGCTGTGCATCGTAGAAAAGTCTTTAAGGTTTGATTTTTCTCTTATTTCACTGCTTTCTACCAGAAGGATTTGCATTCAATATGGTTCATGCTAGACTGTGGCAATTCATTTTGGGTAAGACTGAGAATTCCTCTTATCGTGCTTTTTCTGTTAGTTATTTACAACTTGTGAGAATACCACTCAAAATCAAAGAGGTGTCAATGGAAACGAGATGGCTGGAACTATTTAAACAATACTGAGAATAGAATTGGCCACTCTGAAGAATGGAATGGACGACGACATGAGAGCACACGTGCAAAGGAACTTCGTGCATCAAGGCGCTTAGACACTCAAACGTTTCCTCCGCTCATTTCGTTTCCTGGAAACCTTCATGTACGAAAGTGGTTGTACTCGTGTGTGGGTTCGGTCTTGTCCTGATAACCGGTATACCGACTTTACCTGTAAATGAATAGATCTGGCTACCAAGATACTTACCTTCAATAGATCTTTACAAACGATGCATTTGCACAGTTATTCGGCAGCTCCTGTCGAGGTGATTTTGATTAACTCGACATTTATTCCAATGTTCTTCTCGTCCACTCAGCGTCTTCTCATACTTCATGACCGTTCCATCGATTTTTATGTTCGATTGTATTCTTTTGCTACAAAACAAGATATGCTATAAACATGTAAACTACAATAACCAGATGATGTTTAACTACGCCGTCCGACCTTCACACGATATCGTACGTGTGCTCTGTGCATTCTACGCAGCTCTTTCAATGCAGCCGAAGAAACGCCCCATGTTTCTACTGTTTATACAAAGCCGAAAAGTCGTTGTGTCGGATGCTCGCACTTTTATCTTCACCCGAATCCTTCTTTCAAGTTATTATCCATATTTATTGCACGTAAAACATATTCAATGTGTAACTTCTTAGAATGATGACCCATCGACTTTAAACTCCCATCATTCTAGGCATGAACTTTTTCTTTTTTCTTTTTCTTCTTTTTTCTTAATTGATCCGTATACTTATCCTTCCCAAAATGCCTTTGAACTCGACAAGTATTACCATTCTCAATATTGCTGTTGAGTAAACACGAGGCACTACTTTAAAACTAGCCGAGAGAAAAGTAGAGCGAGGGCCTCCATGTGTAATGCGCGATCCTCCGGAAAACGAAACCGTGGTTCGATCTGGCACGATGTCCAAGTTTTGAGAATATCTCTGCATCGTTGTGGTTGATTTCGCATATACCCTGCAGTGAAAACTGTCGTAAGCATTAAATAAGAAGGCAAACATTGTTACTTTATTATAGTGAGGATGAAGTTTTTGCAGTGAGCCTGAAAAAGTATATTGATATGCAATTTATCATGCCAAAAGCAACAAAAACACAGAGACGGATAAAAATCTGCTTGGTAGTCACAAGACCAACAGCTTATCCGAAAACTACCGTTTTTTAGGTACCTTCCACTGAAGAAGAAGCGTTAGGCGTAGTAAATTGTGTATCCTTCCAGAGTCTGAAGAAGCGATACCGCTGAAACGGCAGCTTCACCATAATAGAGAATATAGCAACACCTCGTGTTTCCTCAACGAAAATATAGAAAACTATTTGATCAGGGCCGTGGTCAATAGGAAGTCGCTCGTGAGCATTACCATTGCTTTTATGATATCACACACTGGTGCTTTCTCGTACTCATTAAAGACAAACAGAAGTAGTAGGTAGACGCAAATAACCGTTGAGAGTACTTTTATGTGGGCCACGCAGTCTACGTGGTGGTCGTCAGTTCGGGGGAATTCAGTATAGTATAGTCTTGTCTAAGAGCTATACCAGGCCTCAAACCAAACGTCTAGCTGCAGCTCCAAATTTTGCGAACAGGGTCATTGATGGCGCTGCCTCAGTGACGGTGATGGAGTCTAGTCCAGTGTTCCTGGAAGAAAGAAGTTTGGGTTGTTGATATTTCCATTCTATGCCTCGAAACTACAACTCTACCATTATCATCAAGCACAGCAGAACACAGGATATTGCTCTCGTAAAAATCTGGGCTACATCTTCGTATTTCAAATAAATATCTCCGAATGCCCCATTTACGTTTATCTAAGTCGGCAAATCAACATAGTGAATAACTTAGCTCCAAAGTTGAGCGGGAGGAAACGAGTGGCTTGGGGAGCTTTCAAATGTATTGGGGACGCAATGAAAAAAACAAAGAACACCCGATTCCGTCCCCACCTTTTCGACTCCACTATACTTCCTGCTTTAACGTATGCGTGGTCGCAGCGTAAGCAAGTTGAAAGATCCGTCAGCATTATTGAACGCGCAGTCGAAAGCACGATGGCAAGCGTATTAAGTTCACACAAGTAAAGGAACGGATTCAAACCTCCCACGTGCGTCAACGATCAAAAATCAAGGTGCCATTCTTTGGGCCAAAATGATGACAGCGCAAGCAATATTCTACGGCAGCCGACGGCCAGGAGCTGTTAGTGACTGTTAGTCTTCGAGATGTCAAATCTACTGCAGGAAGACCATCGACTCGATGGTCAGAGTTCCTCACGAAAAGCCTAGAAGAAAGTTATGATGCTGAACGAGTCTCTAGAGCGAGCACAACTCACTGGGCTACTCTTGCAAGCGAGAAGGAAAAATGGAGGATTTACTAACGCCTGTCCGAGTCATTGGACGATCAACGGGGCTACAGGTGACGGATGGAATTGGTGGTATTTTCGCATGCACATTCCCGTTGTGATGGGCGCCTCTGGAATACTCGTCTTTCGAGCTGTGTTGTTTTGTGCAGTAACATGATTTTCTCGCAGGTAGCACTTGCTCAAAAACTCTTCAGCCGCTTTTGATGGATTTTCAACGCTTCCCTATGATTAGAAAAAACTTGCTGAGCGGGTTCGACGACTTTCCAATATAGTCTCGAAGTTTTCTATCAAATCCTCGCTTTCGTATCAATTATAGTTAGATAAGGGGCGGATAACACAGTGGTAGTGATGTCCGTCATCATGAGCATCATGATCAGACTTCTCTGAGAAAAGACCACTCTCTACAAAACAATTGGGAACGCTCCAGCCCGGCTATATCAGGACTCCAGGGAGAATTGCTCCACCAGGGGAGAATTCTACGGCATTCAAGATGAAATACTTACTTGATACTTGAACGGCCCTTCTTCACTAGTTGTGCTGACCCCAGCATAATCACCACTTTTCGGAAACCTGCTGGTTAAGCCATTGTGGTTCGACAGCCTGGCCAAAGTCTGCCCCAGGTCTTCGACAGGAAGTTTCAGCCCTTGTGGATCAGAGGAAGATTTGCCACCATGTGACTTTGATACCAGGACGGTGTTGGATCCTGGTATTGGTTTGCTCTTAGCTAGGCTTCCTGATGGAAACGCCGGACTCCTTCTCAACTTGGGAGACGCCCCGCTGTACATCGTAGTCCGACACCCAGGAACACCTCCCAGCCACGGTGAGGCGGTAAACCGTTGGGAAGATTCAAAATGAAACGGAAATCGTAAAGCAAAAACTGAAACCACACGTAGAAGTTGAAAGACCTTTGGGGAAGATGGATTCGAGGAAACGAATCGAATGTGAGAAGTACTGGGATCCCCACAGCAGAAGTGAAGAAGGGTCAAATAAATAAATAAATAAAACATAATCAAATAGGACATTAAAGGTAATAAATTCGTTTTATGCTGCTTATTCTGTCTTTTTTTTCGTAGAAGAAATGCACTTCATTTCCACCTTGTGATTGAAACAAGCCTTCACGTAAAGAGGGCAGTGGTCCGATCTTGTGCAAAAGATAGAATGACGCTGATCTCAAAAGTGCTTAATTGTCCATTGAAACGAAAGCATTCGAGCATCACATAACCGTTATCATTTGGAGGGTGTCCAAAGCCGGGGGAATGGTATTTTTCATTGCGAGAGAAATCTCCATGGGAAAAAACAGCAGCAGGAAGTAACCTTATAAGAAAATCTTTAGTTTGAGTACATTGCTCTTAACTAGTTTTTTAACTCTGTATTCGTGTTTTTGTTCAGCCCCTATCTTTGGATTGGAGAGGGGCATAAGGAATTTTGAAGCAGAGCTTCCCGTAACAAGAGTTTTTCAACTTCTTAAGCTTGTTCAATTCCACATGGTCTGCTGCTGGCGTGGGTCAGCAATACTTATTGATAGTGATTTATAGTGGCAAAAAAGTGTTGTAAGTACGTAAACACATAATTATTTAATTTTTAAAACTCGAAAAAGATCGATAGAACTAGCTGAGAGACAGGCGAAACAAAGGACCCGGATGGTCTGGTGGTGAACGCGTTACTCCCCGGAAAGGACAATAGCGCGTTCGTTCTCCACCCTAGACATCTGCGGTCCGGAGTTTTGCAAATATCTAAGTATTATAGTAGTTATATTTCGGAAAATACCCTGCCGCTAAAATGGATAGGCAGTAAATAAAAAGGTTAAGATTGTGTTTAACTTTATGCTTGCTGTTCTACAAACGATTTCACAACCCTATCAAGCAAAATAAAACACAGAATTGCTTCGTTTAAAAGAAAAACCGTAGTGTTCGGGCGTTCTTATTCGGCAATTGGATCAGAAATTCGCCAACCTAGGTATGTCTTACTGTCTCGCTTCTTTTTTGGCGTTTTTGAGCAACGTAACTATTTTTCACTTTTTCCTTCCAGAGTCAACGAACAACTTCATTAGTCCAAAGGTGCATCGAATATTCTTAATAATGACCATAACAATCATTTTCTTCCAACATCCTCATTATTCTCCATTGATGAACAGGTAATGTAAATTCCCCCCTTCCGTTTCTTGGTAGAGATGGAAACTCTATCTCATTCCACTCTACGCTGCTTTAGAATCGTCTCAACATTTCTAACGGCCGGTCTTATTCACAGTCATCCGACGAACTACAGTTCGATTCTTTCATCAAAATATACCACTTATGTTGGAAAGCTGTCTTATTCGTTATATCTTGTACATTGGCCGATTTATACTGCCATTAAGATGCAAAAATCTGAAAACGCTCTCGGTAAGTCTGCTGAAAGCCAGCTTTGTAACACTGTAATTGCAAAAACAAAAGCTTAGCCCTAATAAAACAGCACACAGGCTAACCTCCTCTGCCGACGTCCAAGCACTGCGATTACCATGGCTAGTTTGTATCGTTTTGAGCGTCTGTAGCGAACATAAAGATTAAAACTGTTGAAAAATTCTATAAACTAATGCATACTTTGCTTTCGAGGTCTTCATTGCGGTGTTGTTATTTCCTTCATAATCTCAATGGTGCTCACAGAGACTTTTGAGAAAGCTTACTTACGAGCGGCCAAGAAACCCATATTCTACCTCATAATCTGCCTCTATGCAATCATCGTCGTATTCTGGATGAGTGAAGCGTCATACAAATTTCTCAAACACAATACTAAATATCTCACAGAACTGTTCACACCCGTGTGTCCCAAGAAAATATTCAATTCCCACGAAGATTGCTATATTCCCTTCAATCGACAGAATTTGAGTACAGGTACAGCTACTTTTGATTTCGAATGTCTTTAGCAGCGATTTCGTAATTCTCGTAAAGTATTATACAAATTTTAACATGGGATTTATAGAAGAAATTATTCTAATAAACGAGATGAATTCGTTCGATGATGAGAATCAATTGTTTTATTCAAAGTGTTCCTACCGACTTCATACCGCTCCATGGGATGGTGCGATCCTCCAGCTGAGGTTTTCACTAGCCACAAACTGATTTTTCCAAAAATCTGCACAATAGCTGTTTATTCCAGAGCAGCAATTCGAATCGTAAAATCTTGGTGATTGGTAATAGTTATGCCACAAATCAGGGCCGAGCAGTGTACGAAGGCTGCACTAGATCTGACGTTGAAGTGAAAATCTATTCATAGGCCGGTGAGCTCTCCATTTAAAACATGACACTATCCTTTGTTCCAAAAGTTCCTGTTCAGAACCAGATTCACCCAACATGTATCTTTTGTAGCTAAAGCTTAGTGTACTAGCATTGTTTCAGGTTGCGAGATCATTGCTGTATCCAAAGAATTCAATCACTGTCATGACTCTCGTAAAATATTCCGCGAAGCAGTAAGTGAATATAAACCAGACGTTCTCTTCATTCTTACCAGGTAAGCAGTAAAATTCTGCATTATCTTCGGAGTAAATGGGTATAGGTTTTGTATAGCTTCTATAGGTTTTGTTCGTTTTCATGCCTTATTTCTCAAAAACTTTTTTCGCCTTAAGAAAATGTCTCTCTAGGCATTTGGAATTGATGGAAACGCCAATGACTAGTGAGGCAATAGATAGGGCAGTGGACTACGCCGCTGACGTTCTCGCTGGTCTCTCACAATTTGACACTGAGCGAATCTTCGTGCTGGATGCCATTCCACGTCCAACGAAATCATTTGAAAACGATCACACACACGCCGTGAGGGCCTGGAAAGTTCTGGACCAGGTCAGTTATTTGCTCGCTGTTTTGCTATGGACCACGAGTTGTTCTCTAGGTGATCACTGTTGACACATTTTGTATCTTTATTGCTTTTCTTAATATGCACACTTCGAAACAACGAGGAAGACTTGTACTGTACTATGTACTTGTAAAATTCTTTTCGATACGCTTTACTATAGGTAGTGTTCTCCTGGGCACTTTTAATTCATTGTATGACAGAAGTGACGTCGTTATCGTGATACCACAAATAAACACCAATCTACTGTTATGAAGAAGAATGGAAATATTATAGATAAGCCATAGACCAAAAGACTTTTGTGACGATACTTCAGCGTACAGCGTAGTGTTTGAAATTAGAAACGTCTGTCAAGGGCTTAATTTTGAAAAAGACCAGCAGTGAAGAAAAAAAACAGGGATGTTGAGAGTTGCTGTGAAACCCAATCTGAACTTGTGCATTCTTCTTAACGTCTCTGGACAGAGCGTGAGCATCGAGTAAGAGTAATTACGCGTTCGAAGACCGTCTAAGGTTCAGTGTTCTGTTCATATCCCAGTGTCCTTGTTGCTCCATATCACATAATACCCTGGTATAAAAAAGTAAAGAGCAGTAAATAAAGAGTTAAACATTCTGATTTCGATCGTAGGCTTAGCTTAACTGAGTGCTATACCGATTTGTGCTTCCCAGATCATTCTAATATACGGATGGCTCATGTTGGCACTCTGCTAAAGTAAGAAATTGGGTGAAAGAAAGGTAGAACAAGGACCTCAGTTGCAGTGGTAAATAGCACATGGGTCCTCTCTGTAAAGGTAATCGCTAGTTCAAAGTTCAACTGAAGTTCTCAGTTTTGTTAATGTCTTAGTGCCCTTGTGGTTGTAATACTACGTATTTATGTGTCGTTTTCTTGTTCAGCAATCGCGGGGTTTTTAAACAGCATACATTTACTTCCATAAAAACACAATACAATACAACGCTAGCTGACGTTTCGGCAGTATCGCCTTCTTCAGAGCCTGGAACGGTATACTGATATACAATCTACTAGGCCAAATGCTTCAATAACACTTACACAAAGACGAAAGGCTCTTTGGTAATTACATGATCAACAACTTCTCGAAAAATCCACCGATTTTTATGTGACTTCCAATGAGAATCAATTTCTGCTGTGGGATTGTGCAGTCGTCAACCACTTGCGACTATAATCAGCTGTTCTAATCTTCCTCATGTGACGACACAGTCGCATGTGGTTGACGACTGCACCATCCCACATCAAAAATCGATGCGAACATACGGGATCAGGTCGCGTATGACCTCCGGGCATTCATCGCTGCTATTCATTGTAGGGTTTTTGGCATTGATCCAAAAAGCCTCTAAGAGTTTTCACGCTGGTGTTTTAGACTTCTGTGCAAGGATATTGACTTTTACTTCAAAATCGTCTCCGCTATGCTTTTGTATCCTATGCGTGCCTAGTGGGGTGCTTCGTCTTAGTTTTCGTTTGCCGTCTAGGTGTTCTTTTATACGGGTACACAAAGGTCTGCCCGTTTCGCCAATATATTCATCTCCGCAATTATTACAAGAGATCAGGTATATCGTACCTGAACTCATGCAATCACCGTCCCTGGTCCCTGCCGTAAGGGCAAATTACGCAATTTGTTGTTTCACACGGACGGTCATACAGGCGGTTGCGAACTAATTGGCGACGTAGAGTAACCGGTGGTATTTCGACTATCACTACCGATTCCTCTAGATCTGCCCTTTTTAAGCATCATTTAATTGCTACGCTTACTTTATCGCTAATAAAAGGCAATATAAACGGAGCTTTTTTTGGCCAAGTGTTTCGCTTGGGCGCGTCGCTGTCCTTCTAAACTTATCTCGTGCGGTTACTACTTCGTAGCCATTGAAGATGGCTATTTCCCGAGCCAAGTTGGGCGACTCTTCCTTTAGTTCCCTGGTTGTGCACACAGAGGTGGCTGTTCGAAACATGTTTCTCACAACCGCCCTCTTTGTGTGTGAAGGGTGGGAAGAAAGGAAATGAACAAGGATGTTCTTGTTACTTGGCTTTCGATACCACTTTGTCAGGTAACCGCTACTTGATAGGTTTATTTGAACGTCCAAAAACGGAAGCCAGTTTTTTCTCAGTTTCTCCCGGGTGAACTTTATGTACTCGGACTTCTCGTTCAATAGTTGGAAGCATTTGTCCATCTCCTCCTGCGCAAAGAAGACGACAAAACAATCATTTACATATCTGCAGTAGAGTAGTGGCCGGAGATCGAGAACAGGGGCTTCTATCTTAGACATAAACACAATGGCCAGGCTTGGTGCCAATCGCTGTCCCATTGCCAACCCCCTTATTTGCGCGAAATATTTCCCAGACCGCCACGACCGACTTTCTATTAACCTCGGCATTGATCAAGTGATTTTCTTCGTATTTTTGTTGAGCAAACGCGAGGTGTTACTATTCTTTGTTCACGATTAAGCTGACGTTTCGGCGGATTTCGCCTTCTTCAGAGCCGCTTTCTATGAGGTTTCCACTAAGTATGTCACGTAGAGACCAACCGCACAGAAATCACGTGGAAGTATAATGTCTCTACGTGACATACTTAGTGGAAACCTCATAGAAAGCGGCTCTGAAGAAGGCGAAATCCGCCGAAACGTCAGCTTAATCGTGAACAAAGAATAGTAACACCTCGCGTTTGCTCAACAAAAATACGAAGAAAATTTCCCAGACCATCTGAAAATCGAGCAGTTTAGACACTTTTTTAAGAGAGCCATTAGCTGCTGGATGGACAAGCCATGCATATTTATTCTTTCTTCATGTTCAACAAGAAGTTCAAAGATGGCTTGCATTGCGGAGTCATTCGACACGTTGGTGTACAGTGCGGTAACGTCGAAAGACTCCATCACGTACGCGTTATTAGGAGACGCGTTACGTAGACGTTCTAGGAACATTTGGGTGCTCGTGAGGTGAGCTGGAATGTGGTTAAGCAACTGGGTAAGTATCAGGCTTAAAAACCAGGTTATTCTATCCGTTGGCCCGTCTACACAGCTGATGATCGGTCTAACCTTAAATGATGACGGATTGGTTGACGCATGATCATCGGTGATACCAACTAATGTGTTTTAATAAGTAGGTATAGGACGCGACATGTTGGTCTATCGATTTTAAAGTGCGAAATAACCGATGATTTTAAACCCGCAGCCTTTGCCACGTTGACCCATTGATTGTTTAGCTTTCGGTATTGACTTTTTGACGGTATTGACCTTCCAGGCTCTGAAGAAGGCGATACTGCCGAAACGTCAGCTAGCGTTGTATTGTATTGTGTTTTTCTATCGAAGTAAATGTATGCTGTTTAAAAACTTCGCGATTGCTGAACAAGAAAACGACACATTCAAGTTCTCAATATGCTTGTTGAGCAAGCACAAAGTGTTACTTAATTCTTTATTTCGTTAAAGCTGACGGAGCCTGGAAAGGTATATTGATAAGCAATTTACCATGTCAAGCGCTCCAATAACACGATGCCAAAACTCCAACACGTAAACTTCTAGAGGCTTTTTGGATAAGTACAAGGAACCCTAGAATGAATAGCAGGTAGGAATGCCTGGAGATCACACGTGATTTCGCCCCGTGACTTCGCATCG